ACCAAATGTTCATCCTGTTTGCTTTTGGATTAACGGAATTACCCAACTTTTCCAGGCAATTTACGCCATCACAAAGAAATATCATTGCGTATTTAACCTCTTCCTCCCCATCAATCCATCTATTTTTTCATCGTCCCTTTCTGCTTAATCAACATTATTCATTATGTTAAATGACAATTTCAGGCATCAATTTTTGCATCCACTGGAAACTTATGGGGAAAATTTCTAGGCATTTTTAATAATTTATCTTGAAAGTCGCTTGATTCTAACGATTATTGGTCAACGATGAAGACATAAAAGGGATACGATTAAGTTTTATTGTCATTGCTATTTGAGTACAGCTTAAAACGACTTACAAGTTATTTTGAAAATATCTTTGGAAAGGAGGTGCAAAGAAAATGCTAAGAGATTTTTTCTGTTGTATATTTAATGGGCCATAAAAAAGATCCTCTGGCATTTTTTATTTAGGACTAGTTTAGAAAGATAAACTCATAGCTTTTTTTAAGCCTCCTTTTATCACCTTGCTCGAATATCACCATTTACTGACCGTCCTACTCTCCCTATTTTAATCCTGTTAGACTTTTGAATATAGCACTGATAATGGGAAAATACAATCAACATTCAGAAAGAGTTTCTTGATGGTGTAAGGAAAATTCTTACAACGAGTTTCACGAATTAACTTCACCCAAAAAAAACCTCTTTCATTTCTATACTTAAATTGAATTGAATTGAAATGAAAATTCAAGATCGATTAAAAATGTTCGCAAATAGAGTAGGAGAAATAAAAAAAAATTTCCTGACACTGTTATTTATTTATTTATTTATTTTTGCTATTTGAAAATACACTTGCGGATAAATTACAACTCAAACAGTGAAGACCGATAAAATGTTACGTTCTCAATCAAATTTCCGTTCTCCTCTCCAATTAGCATAAATATTAATTATCATACTGAAGTGAGCACAAGAATGAAATATACCTCGAATGAACGAACTCGGATATCCCTGACATTCTCTCCTTGAAGACTCTGGGAAAGAACATTGTGGAAGGTCGGGTGTTTTAGCGGAATTGAAACAGCATGACGTCAGAGACGTGCGTTTGCGACGGGCCCCCTACCGAAAAAAAAAATCTCACATGTACACACACCGTGGCACATTGATAAGAGGCCCCGGTAATCGAGTTATCGAGCACGACGACCTTGCGTCGATGCTCGCCAAACCCATGAATATTTAAAGGCGCACAACTTGGTTTTTGTACATGCTATGAAAAAATAACGAACTTCTCCTTTCATTATTATTGTTCTCATGGAGATAATTTAATATGTATTCATCCCCTTGTATTTTACTCTTTGTATGAGCGATCAACAGGCAAATATAGACGATAAATTGAAGGTAATGAGGTGATAATTGCAACTCAGTCATCGGCAAATATTTGGTGAAGTGAGAAAATCGGAAAAAGGAATATTCAAAGTGAGGTATGTTCGCTAATAATCCGTCTGTGCGTTGTCTACTGTTGGAATAATAAATAATGCATTATTTTTCAATGCACGTTTGTAACAGGTACGTAATGCATTCTCACCTCGTACGATATCCCTCGTACGATAGAGTCTCATATACACTCAACCCCTCGATTGTTCCCCCTTTTTCCATATTGAAGAATTTTCAGCGTTACAATGCGTATTTAAATAAAGACCGGAGAAAAAAATGTGAGAGCCACGGTGAATGTCGGGGCTGAGTTGGGGACCCGGATTTAATTGACGATGAATCAACTCGCATTAAGTCAATGACAATGTCCGTTTGCTTCAACACACTCGGCTCGTAGTCCACTCGTTTCAATGAACAATTTCACTGCTTACTCCCCATGTGTGATTCAACACCCGATTCAAAATTGTAGAGTATCGATCGCTGGGGCTGTCAATTGGGGTTTGTCAGGCGGAAATTTATCGGCTCTCGATGTGCCTCAGATTAGAGGAATCAGCTGGCTTCCAAGAGGTACTCTTTCCCCTGGGTAATCATGGAAAATCGTATTTTTTACCTCGAGCTAGGGATACTCAATGAAAGATACAAATAAAGCTTCTGCCATTCTGTGTATTCTATTTTAGAGAGTAAAATATTCGTCGTCGGAGCGCAAGTAAATGACATTTCGTTTTATTGAAGTTGTTAAAAATTGATTGACTTTTTCCTTCTCAAATTATCGCACGTGTTTGTCAGACATCTTCACAGGAACTGAAGAAACGAGGGCCTTACTGAAAAAAGGGAGACGAGTTTGAGAATTCAATTTCCTTTCCACCTTTTGTAGCTGTGGAAGTTCGACTCGTCAGTTTAGAAAATATGCAATAAAACGTATTTATAAAGTGAAAAAACACATTCTAAACAGTTCCAAAGCCATAACATTAATAACATCGTGAGAACACCATCAACGAGAAGCATCATATCTCATGGATTAACAAAAAATCTGGCTAACAAAAAAAGAGGAGGGAGATGAGTTGAGAGGAAAAAGAAAGAAAAAAGAGGAAAAAACCTAACGAGAAAAAGGTTTTAACGATTTTCAACATTCCCACAGTTAAAGGCAATATGTGACGATGGATAGACCCGTCGAAAAACACATGAAGCTTGCGTACTTTTCCCTCGTTGCATATTGTACTGGTAACAGTCTCGTTATTAATAGCTACTGCGCATTATCGTTCATGCGTGGCCGTGCGAGAAGTCAGGAGTCACTAATCTTCATGAATCAAGTGGCGATATGCGTTTATTTGGTATATATACAGCAGCGAGTTAATTGCCACTTGTACTGTCATATTTTGTTTCGCCCACGATCGCATTAAAATGCCACGGTGAGAAGAAAAAAATAATGATAAAGAAGTGAAGATTTATTCCAAGTGTGAGGAGGAGAGAATGATAAAGAAAAAAAAAAACAAATAATGGTGATAAAGGTGGCCAGCGAGGTCGATAATACTAATTCTCAACATTTTTCCATGATAATGCGAGGACGATGCCTCCTAACGATATGCATATCCAAATGCGTAATAGCGTCCATCGAATTGTGTAGTCATATTAGTGGTAGGGATGAAGAGATAATGCAACTCGAGATGCTTTCACTCCAAACAACTTTTTTTTCCTCATTTTTTGTTGAAAAGTTTGGACTGGTGTGAAGGATTCGGTAGGAGTTTGAGTACATCACAAATTAACACAGTCGGTTTTATTTTTAAATGATTTTTTAATAATTTTTGATAAAAAATGATATAAATCGGGTACTTAATAACAAGATAATAAGTATTATAAACAAGGGGACTAAATACAAATGTACAATGGATTTTTCCTTCTCATCATTAAAGTTAGTCGTTAGCACAACTTCTTTTCATTTTGTTATTTATAGTTTGTAACTTAATAAACTAGAATCGATAACTTAGAGACATTATTTTTTTTGTTGTTTTTTTGTGATTTTTGTATATAATGAATAGTTTTTGCCATCTTTCATTACATTTTTTAAATGATAAAATCTGTTTATATACCAGTTTAGCACGCGTTCACTGGTTTCTATTGAAAAATAAAAACGAAACTGAATTAATTGATTAATCGAATCATCCATTTTCTTTCGTGAAAACAAAAAATATATAACGAAGGGATTTGTTACGGAAGAAATAATAAAGAAAAGAAATGAGAGAGATAAGAGAGGTTGGGAGAAACAGAAGAAGGGGAATTGGGAAAATCATAATTGTGAGGTTGATTTTAAATAATAATAATTAAAGGAAAATCACATAAAAGCGCAAAAGGAAAATGTGAACGAAACAATATAATCCCTCAATATTATTCTTTCTCTGCTAACGATAAGGTGAACCCAATGACAGTCCTATAGGCATTGCGAATTTTACAGTGTGTAAAAATATTGCTACGCTCTGTCAGACGTTTTTCTTTAGTCACTTTTCTCTTTCATTATGATTTCTTCTTTAAATGACTCTGTTTATTGTTTCATATTCTTTCATTTTACTCGTTTCTCCATTAAATATCGTAACTCTGTTTGCAAAAAAATAGATAAACATACGCCAATCATCTGTTCATTATTTTCTCTTTATGTATGTTTCATTATTTTAAATAGAAATGTTGGCTGTTAGGACAGTAACCCCTCAGTCTCGCTGAAATAATATTGCACTTTGGTGGATTTTCCACATTGTAGCTATATTTTTCCCATGTGAAAGCAGTCTGTACATTTTTATAATTGCTTTCACTTGGCAATCAAATCGCAACTCCACACTTCGAAATCGAGTGGAATATATTGCAATTATGCCATCAGCTGACAGATACCGAGGCTTTCGGTGAATTATTTCGGTGAAATGAGTGTTTCACGCTCAAGTGTCGCATATCGAAATGCGGAGATGGATTCGTTGAAATAGCAAGGACTAGTTAACGACATAATTTTCTCATTGAAATTACAACACCACGTTGCACATTCTGCGAGCAAGAGAGCTACCGCCACTTAGCGCAAAATTTCCATTCTGCTGCATCTATAATTTATTGTATCCAAAATATCTCAACGATGGTGAATTTGATTTGATTTCCCAGTTATGGCGGATTCTATCACTTGATTCTATGATGGCATCCAGAATTACGAGAAATAAGTTTATCTAGAATAAATAAATGGAGGAGAACGTAAAATTTGCTCATCATTCATTAATGATCGCGTTGTTTGGGTGAGCCAACGTTCTTTATGCTGCACGGAAAGAAAAAAAATAGGAATAATTTTATTTTGGCTCCTCCCCCATCGGCTTTCAATTGGACATATATACATACTAAGAATTTGTTAAAAACTACTACACATCTATCCGTTTATCAATCATATGACTTTTAAAAATTGAAAATCCTAATTGTAACACGATTTGAGTATCATTTGTTAGAAGTGTTCAGGCTGATGTTCACAATCAAGTGGGGAAAAAGATAAGTGTGAGGGAGAAAGGGAGAAACGTAGATACATCTTAACGTATTTGAGCATAGATTTAACTCGTCAATGAATTCAATCGAGTTTATTTGTCAAAATCTGAATGCGTTCTCTAGTGAACACTTCTTAAGATGATACTCTTTAATAATAGATGATGTGAAGTTGGCGCGAGGAACGAAAAGGTACTCATCAATCCGTAAATTGATATTCGGAAGCATCAGTGACGATTTTTTCTAATTCTAATTGTCAGAATCGAAACTTTTTCACTCCTCGATCCAAGTCAGCATCGTCAACTCATCAATAAGTTATTATTATTTTTCTGCTATTGTACTCTTTAACACCGATCCAATTGTTTATTCAATGATTCTTTCCCACTCTCTCAATAAATCCAGTCGCTCTAACGATAGTTAATTGTTCGTAATCTCAATGAATTTCTCTCTCCACTGCTCCTACATTTTCTTCTTGTTCATGTATCTTCTATTATGAATACCATATAGACTATGAATAAGTATGTTTTTCTAATCACAATTCGCGCAAATATGTAGTTTCACAAGGACAAGTAAGCCACAGAAAGATGATTTTTTTTAGTCTTTTTTCAAGATTTTTTTCATTATTTTTCCTTACGTATGTTTTTATACTTAATGACAAACATTCTTTCGATATTCGATATCTTATGTTTCTTCTAATTTTTAATTTGCAAAAATTTATCAACCACTCAATTTACATTAAAAAATTCCACCCTTTAATTCAGCAGACTTGAGTCGCTTGTACAATTTTTTTTCTCAAATGTTTTTGGCACCCAAAACTCCTAAAAATACGACAATCATTAGTTAATGAAAAAACCGCCATTCGTTGCAAACCTCCAATACCAATCTTTCTCCCTCCCTACCTTAATCTCACAAATGTGCTCATAATTTATGAGGAAAAACAGCAGAAATTGCGCCTCACCGTCAACGCTTCGTTAAAATCACGTACAAGCGTAACATAAAACAACGACTTGAGGATTTACTCTTTTCCATTTTTTCCATCCTTCAAAATTTACCTCATTAAACATTTATGAATTATCAATTCGCGATCTACTGGCCATTTTGCTAATCCATATTTGGCTTATCCGAGATTAAAGTTCCAGCGCAATGCTCTTCCTTCGAATATCGAGTGGAGCAAAAAATTAAAAAATAAAACCAACAAATTGAACAAATTGAAAGTAATGTATTAAAAAAAATTGTTAACGTAATAAAATAGGGGAGGATACGCTTGTGGTTCAGCCTGCAATAAAATTGATATGTCTTACGCCCAAAAGAAATTTCCCATCTCGACTATTTCGTGTTCGTCAATTTTCGTTCCACCAATGGCAGTATTGATGAGCCTTTACCCGTGCCTAAGCAATCAATAATCGGGACGTTTCATTCTGTGCAATGGTCTGTTATGATCTGATTCAACAGTTTTTATTCTCCATGTATTGTTCCAGAAATATTCACAGCCTGTATTTGTAGAGGTTTTCTTTCAATTTTAACTATCCACTCACACATCGCTACATGTGCAATACATTAATTCCTGTTATTAAACGGGATAATTACGTTACATTCTTTAACTGACTCGAAATCATTTTCAACCACAATCTGAACCCGCCTTCCCCCCAAACCGCGATGATTAAATGTGATTGTTTCATAGATTGTATTTCTCTGTTAATTTTCCATTTGGATTTTTTAACTCCTTATTTCCATTTGTAAATAGACGTCTAATATTACTTTGTTATTCTTTTTTTGGCCCTGTATTTAATTTTGTACAAATGTTCCTTCTTCAAAACCAGAGTGATAGGCACTATTTTTGTTTCATAAATTTCTCCATTTTTTTAATTAAATCATCTCTAAACTCTCATTTCCCTGTCTTGAATATCCCTGAATCGAGTTACCCAATGCCTCTCACCTCCAAATTTATTCTTAACATTTGCCTCCACTTTGCTGAAACCTCCACTCTCTTATTCTCTCGTTTATTTCCTCAATAGTTTAATGGTCGGTGCTGTCACGAGTCTAATAGTTCAGATAAGAGAAATTAATTTCCGTGTGATGTGCAACATTTGACTGCAAATGAGAACTAAAAAAAGTTAACATAACGCGCTGAAATAAAAAAAAAATAAGAAAAAAAAACAAAAAGTAATAGATAATAATTGCGCCTAAATAATAAGGAAATGGTAGTGGGTGGCTGGTATTAGTGTGATAAGTGAGAACGAATAAAGTGTTCATTAATTCATTAATTATTTAAGTAAATGTAAAGAACATGAGATCAAAGTTTGATAATATAGTTTCGTCATCCGGATACTTCACTCCACGCTCTCTTGAATTACAGAATAGGAAGAATAAAGTAAAATAATTCTACAATCATCATAAAGAAAAATTCAAAGTTGGATTGATGAAAACAAAAAAGATAATTGAAATAAATAATTGTCGACAGAGTTTCGTCAAATAGTTTCCCTATGATAACCATAATCCATCAAACACTTATCATTTCTACAATAATCATGAGAATTCAGCAATTAAATGGAATAAGGAAATCTCCACCGGTTAGAGCTACTGAGAAAATATCGACAAAAACGATACTGAAAAAAAAAGAATTCGCAATTCAAAATCATGATTATTTCAATTTACAATAAGTTTATTCACCTTCAAAAACAAGAAAAGAAACGAATCGTCTCACGTATAAATTAATAACACTTATCTCTTCAATCCACTTAGCTCACTGAATCATTACCACTCCAAGGATTCCACACTTGTTTTGCCAAGGAAAATTCAACTCTCTCTCTCTCTCTCTCAATTGCCAATAATTCCAAAAAAATTGTTTCATCAATCGGCTCCAATCATCAGTATGACTTGAAAAAATCCGCACAACGTACATTGTACGGCACAAAAATCCACCGTCCATGACGGCATCAACATCCTCTCAGTACTTAAAACGTAGGTTTGCTTTCTAAGGAGTGTTATATATTACTGAATATGCATCTACCGATATACACAACAGAGGAACTAAATTTGGCTGGTAAGTCCACGGCCCGAGAACAGAGGGTGCATCTATCACTCAAATCGCCTCTTCATCTCCTACTTTGCTGTCAACAAAATACTTGAACACACCCCTTGTCCCCGATTGCCACAACACTTGACTGCCACCTAGCCCTCACTCCTCCCTTCATACAAATATCCTTACGAAACTAGTATACTACAATACATATACAAAAACGTTTTATTTATACTCTGAAATCGAAGTAAATAGGGTATAACTATTGTACAAGGATGACAAAATTCTCGCGCGTGAAGAAGATAAATCAATACGAGTCCACATTGTATACCTCAAGATAATCACTAGATTTATTTATCCACTTAATATTTTTTCTTTTTGTTTTTCAATAATTTCTCTGCTTGTCGAGAATTCGGAAGAGAAACCTCGATGGGAGAGTACGACGGGGAGGGCAGTGAATGGACTGGGAACTCTCTCTCTCTCTCTCTCTCTCTCTCTCATATCCCCTGTTTGTTTCCTCATCACCATAAAATCGGAAGTATCCCGAGTGAAACCCGCGGAAGTTCATTAGTCGTGATTTATCATCGAACTACTGAGTACTCGAGGACAACTGGAATCGTTACCGCATCTCCTCACCCACACCCTCGTCGTCGTCTCAAAAGCTGCCCCACTCATTGTTTAGACCAATGTCTGAAAGCATATCAGTAACGTCTGGTGTCGATGTGAATTCAAAGTGGGAGTCACTGCTCGAGCTTGCCGTTTCAAAGGTATCAAGACTCGACATATCAATGTCCAAGCCAGGTGGTATGTGAAAGAGATCAGTAAGTGAATCAAGATCAGCTAAGCTGCCATCTGATCCTGTTGGTGTGTGCTCCTCAATTTTAATCCCTTGGCTACTGACAGAATGTAAGCTTGGTAGGATGGCATTGGTTGACTGGGCGCTATCCATGGGTTCCTCCTTGACAATCATAAAGTTATCGAGATGACAGTTATTGTTGGACGGACATTGGAAGTTTCTCGTCAACGTATCCATCTCCGAGTAGCTACGCATCGAGGATAAAAGCCTGTCACTCATCGTGAATTCGTGATAATCGAGGTCCGACGCCTCCTGCTTTATCTTTCGTCCAGTTATCATGCCCGGTGATCCACCGGGTACACTCGTCGTTGTCACGATACTCGTTCCAACACAATCTGAAAAGTTATCCTCGTAAAAGCTCGCCGATTCTGGGGAGTCCGGTGTATCGCAGGATGGGCTACTTGGTACTTTGGCAGTGACAATTGGTGGTACTGGTGTGTAGTCAACTGGTGATGGCCTCTTGTCCAGTGCTAATCTTATCTTGAGCCTTGATACTGAATTCGTTGCTGGATGTGTCTGAAGCCTTTTAACGGGTGATTGAGTGTTGTTGTTCGAGTCATTTCTCGATTTTGGGGATACTGTTGGTGTGGCTATTGTTATCGTCGGACTCGTTGAGGCTGACGATGGTGATGATTTTTTCGATTTCTTCACGTCTTTTATTTTTGGCGTTGTTGCTGGCTTTGTTGTCTTTTTCCTTGGACGATACTTGTAGTCCGGGTACTCTATCATGTGCAATCTCCTCAGTCTCTCAGCTTCCTCGATAAATGGCCTCCTCTCAATCTCATTCAGGGTCTTCCAGCGCCGTCCAAGACGTTTACTTATTTCAGCATTGTGCATGTCTGGTTGAACTTCGCAGATCTTTCTGCGCTCAAGCTGAGACCACACCATGAACGCATTCATCGGTCTTTTTATGTGATTTGGATTGTTCTTCTTAGTCTGCAACAAACAAAAAAAAATAATCTCCATTAGTTTCTCAATGCTCAAAAGTTGATTGGATTAATCATTAGATCTATGAATAAATATTCAACTAATTGCCAATCAATCTGAGTGGCTCGTTAGTTGCGAGCACGGTCAAACCAGTATGGTCGTGTTATTTCCGGATGAGAATGTGGGCCAAGGGATCACCTGGTTGATTTGACTTTTATAAAGTTCAATCAATCCCGCAGCTTCACCCTCGTCCAGATTAATTACCGGGCTTACCACCTCCCGCTGGTATGTTCTCTTTCATCGCTCCCACCACCAAACACCTGCTGGAGGATCAACGACCCGCGACGTAAGATTTCTAAGAAGCAAATAGAGGAAAAACGGAGAAAAAAGCATCCACGGATACCCGAATAGTGGATGAAGGAGACGAGTGAGGATGGCGCCAGCGTCGCGGCGCCAGTCAGCTGATCAACTTGATCTGACTGTATGCAACTGGCGACTGTCCGTCGCGACTTCACTGACTAGTTTAGTGTGAAGAGTGCTTTTGATGTACTCGTCTTTCAGTAAACGAAGACGGTATACCATTCTGCACTATCTCGTGTGCCATCGCCGTAAATTCGACACAAGGGTATGTCAGTTTTTTCCATTGCCCCCTTCAAAAGAAAAAAAAACTCCTTGCGTTATATCCCGGAAGTAATACAAATTGCAACAATAAAAGGTCATTGTCTTGGGGCTTTCTTTCTCCACTAATTCTCGGTATTACAGAAGGAACCGGGCAGCGTTCTCACGGCAACTTTTGTCACCTCGTGGAAAACTCGTCACGCAACCACCGGTGTAAATATAATGCCTCTTCTTTTGACCATTCTTCGAGTCGTTCATTCGTACTACCAGGACAACCCGGGAGGGAGCATCGGATAGAACGAGAAACTATAAAGTGGCGGAAGATGCACAACGGTGCAAACCACAGTAATGGGGAAACGCGCACCGATTACACAAGTGGGCGAGAAGATACAGAGTGACGCTTTTGTCCCATTAACTCTTGAGGACTTTCGATCCATCACTGCATTACGATGCAACTCGTTCTTCATCTCATCCGCCCTTCGAACCCCCGTTTTGCCTCACCATGAATGGGTACGAACGTTGGGGCCAAGGTCGTTCAGAGAATTGCTTCATTCAATTTCCCAATGATAAAAAAAAATCGGAGAATTGAAAAAAATGGGCCCATTGACTTCCAACCTTTTTTGTCGTCCACACAAACCACTCAAACATGACTCACTAGATATTTCATCTATTGTCAAGCCCTGCCTCCGATACTCATGAAAGCCAAGCAAAAGTCGTTAATGATGAAAAGGTGGGGCTGAATAAGTTGATGGGATTTCCTAAATCAATTTGATATCACGTTTTATATTCTGCACCCGTCGGGTTTCAAAGAAAAAGACGGGTTTTCCCTCTTCTACATTGTCACCCCCGGATAATCCGTGTGCAACAGTTGCCTTGGGTTGCAGCCATACAGTAGACACTTTTTACTACTTTTTTTTTGTTATCTAGAGCAGTACGTCTGAAGTCGAGGTTTTCACACCCATGAAACTCCGGGTTGGCACCTGCGTCAACTTTTCTCGTGCGCTACTCTCTGATACGCATCGGCCCTCTGTCAATCCTTGCTCGTAAAGGGGCATTGCCACGTTAAATCATTTTTTCCCCCTCTTCCTCCCTTTATAAACGCTTTTCTATCCCTCACCAATAGGGGAACTACACCAACAAAGTGTCGGAGGTGCGAAACTCTAGGTCTTCATTCGATTCCGCACCCCTGGTACGCACAATAATGCCATCGCGCAGTCTACCGCTGAGTCACGCTTCAATTCAACGGATAAATAGAAAGATAGGTGGAGATAAATGCCCAGCACTCGTGATCATAGTGCGTTTAACTTTACGATTTCAAAAAAACAGGACATGATCCAAGAGCCAGAGTGCTGATTGGGGCTTGTGAAATGAGCGAGGAAATAAAAGATGAAGGAAACGGGTGAAGATAAGTGTGCCAAGGCGAGTTAAGTCCGATGAATCTTTCATACTGATGGACCCACCTGGTTCACTCGGCATAAGTCAATATGTGCATTAGACGACAATGCGCAGTGATTTATAATTGATCAGAATCCGACGCGCCAGCAAGGTCTCACACATTAATAATCACTCCCTCCCATGGTTCAACCTGTCTTTGTTTTTTTTCCCCTTCTCTTCACCCCAATGCATTCTGACGTACCCCACCAACTATTCTTGGGTATTTTTTTATTTAAAATGGGGAAGGCAGCAACATTCTAAATCCACATACCAACACGTTGTCCCAGTTCACGCTACTCTTTATTACACATGGTCCCTGATTTTTTTATGACCTAAGAACATCAATTGTTTCGCAACTTATAATGACAACTTCTCTCAAACTCTACGTTTCTGGGCCTTTTTCTTCGTATTATTATTCTTTTTTTTCACAATGTCGATACCATGAGATTATCATACTAGATGAGGTCGGCCGGTAATAATTTTGTACGATAGTCAAGTCTTTCAACAACTAGGAAGAACTTTTGCTATCCATTAAAACTACCTACTGAACGTGGGCTTTAAATATTTCAGGTGCACACGTTGCGTGATGCTACTGACGTTCGTACTGTTCTCGTTTTCAGTTATTCCCGTTGTCATTCAAGTTCGATAATTGAGATTTACTGTAAGACATGCTGCGAAATGATCCATTAATTTTATGAGAAAAATGCCACCAAATTTGACGAGGTTTACCGTTTCTTCACGTGTATTTTCTTTACGAAATATGACAACTTTATGGGTGTCACGTGACATCATATTTTTTTTCCACAACGGGATAAAATTAATACAATAATACCAATCGAAATAAAATGAATATTTTTATAACATTCAATGGTGAATAGGATTGAATTTATGTGCAACTCGGAAGAAGGATACGTCACAAAGATATGAGGATTCATTATTTTGGGATTGGAATTCCTTAATTCCCGTTACGGAAGGCGGAAAAAGAATAAAACGAAGGCTAAAACCCAGTTGAGTTATGCAGAACCGCACGCATTCACGTACGCACAATTGATCCTTTAGACCGTTGTCTCGGTCAAGACACATTAAAGTCTCGCGGCGTTTAATACTGGACCCCCGAAGGCCATGATATCGTGTTTGAGATGCAGGCCTGTCTCTCTATGCGACCTTAGTCTCCTCACTTCCGTCAGCTGCGGGCTAATGGTGAATAATATATAATCACACTTGTTTCTCCTTTTTTTTCCATCACATTTCCCAGTGTTATTTTTTTCTTTCATTACCCATGTCCCGCTTTTGGTACAATATCAACGGCATGAAAAATTGCACACCCAAATCGGGTGGACTACTCAACTCGCCAAATCCGTCGACCAGTTCTTTCCAGTCTCTCTCAATGGAATGCTCAATGAGAATAATCCCAGTGGATTATTCATCATCAGTGCAATGGCTCGGTTTTTTTTTTCTTAAGTATTTATCGGATATATTTGCGAAAGTTGGTGAAACGGAGTTGCAGAAGGCAAGCCGGAAGGTGTCAATGAAGTATAGAGCGAGTTAACCCATTGGGCCCGAACTCAAGGATCATGACGTTTGCACACGCAAACGAATGTCAAAGTGCTCTTGGTGCTCTACTCTGTCGCTTCCTAGTAGGTTTAACACACGTCCCTGAAAACACGGAATTGTCATTTCGCAATGGCAAAACGTGAGAAAGCTCAGCAATTTGATTTTTATTCCAAGCATTTTTCTTTGACCCGTTGTACTTGAAATGTCTCACATTGTTTTTGCACTTCACTGGGAGAAGTCAAAGTCGATGTACATGTAGGTGAGATACACGAGCCAAGTGCAAATAGAAATGAAGGGACGGAAAAAGGTAAATGGACAAATGCGCTCCCGTGACTATTGTTGCGGTAGGTTACACCGGAAATGGTAAAGCGAGCCTATCGCGATTACCAGGGAAAATTACAGAGGCGACAGAGTCTTAAACGGAAGTCGTATAACTGCTTGGTTGTGGGGTATAATGGAGTGATTTATCGGTTTGTCTGAAATTGTTTTATGAAGACAGAAGCATGGGCGAGGTGAGAAAAATGAGGAGGAAAAGGATCTAAATAATTCAACGATTTTGTTTTTTTTATACTCTTATTTTTCAAATTCCTCGCTCCACTCCCCTTCTACTATCGACAACAATAACCTTGAGCCTCGGTTGGTTAATTTTTTTTTTATCGCCAAAAGAGAAGCGGGGGAAATACGAAAAATACCGACAGCCATAAAAGCGATAATTCGAAATTAGTCAAACCTGTTATCTCGGAGTTGCGATCAACTTGGGGACTAATCAGTGCGAATAGCAGCATGAATTGCTCTCCGCCGTGGTGTAAAGAAAAATTATGGAATCATTTATCACCCGGAGATCGAATTCTGGTGGAAGACCTTGGAGTCACACGAGCTGATCGATTCGTCATTGGTCGCTTCTTTTGTTCTCCCTCTGAGTTTTGTATCTCAATTACCAGACGAGTGTTGAAAAAAATAAAAATTCTATTATCATAGTAATTCCACGTGAAACCAATGGAAGACAGAGCGTCGAAATTAATCGACAGTTCTACCGATAAATTAACGAATCTCGTTACACTCGGACCTTGAATGAATGATTTGTAGAGATATCCTGCCAAGTTCACGCCAGTTGTCGGAGTCACTGAATCAACGCAAACACAGAGACAATGGTATGAAAAAAAGAGGAGGGTAAGGAAAAATATCCCGATTGTATTCCAGTGTTTCGCCTGCTTTCAATAATTGTGCGCGTGCATGTGAGAAAAGAGGCAATCCTATTATTCTTTTCACGACGATGTAAACACATAAAACTCGCCTTCGTACCGCACGCAAATTACCATATTCACGCGCAAGATCAACGGTGCATTATATTATGTATAAGATTACAAACCCCGAGTCATCAATCGCTTTAGAGTTTAATGGGT